ATATTGTTTTTCATTCCGCGGGAAATTCGTTTGACGAGCGACGGCACGTGACGCGGTGCCGCGCGTTCGCCGGGACACGTTCGAAAGTTGTGCGGCCGGCGTTCGCCGGGGACGGCCATTTATACGCGGACAGCTGTCGGAGCAGTTGCCGCGTTGTTGCGCGGGACATTTTATCGCAGCGCTGACCCACGAACTTCCCATTAAATCGCGCTGTCCAAAGTTAGCGGCCACTGTCGAACGAATCCTGGCGCACAATGGAATCGCGGTCGCCTTTCGGAAATAATTACAGAGTATTTTTGGAGAGAGAATTAAAAATGCAGATTTTCGACGGGGATAAGGAAATTACCGTGAACTTTGTGTGTCAGCTGTATGGGGGTATGTGTGTTATCAATGAAACTATACGATAGACTGATTTGTATGCATTCATGGGAAGAAGACAGATTGCACGCGACAGAGGAAAATACGTAGATTGAAGTGTAGTTATGCTACTTCTTCTTTGTGATTTTCTTACGTACGCCGTTGGAATCTTGAATTTGTATAGTGATTCGTTATATAGTAAGAATGATGTCATCTTTTGATGTCAGCATCACAAGCGACTGTTTTCAGCGAGGATTACTTACGAAAAGGGAAATTGAGTATTCTACGAGAACTCTTCAACTAACTCTGGAAACTACCTAGCATTTTTTTTTCATTTTCATCATTGCACTCAAATGATACTAGTTATGTTAAAAATTATTTGGAATGTTTAATACTATCGAGATATCGACAACTGCGAAGTAAGGAAACTAATCAGTCGTCCTGACTGGTACGGCTCTGTCGTTAATCGCATGTGTTTTCCTGGTGTTAATTGCATGGTAATGAACAGTTACGTTATTGTCTCTCTTGACTGTCGATCGGAATCGAAAGACGTAAATAAGCCGATTAACTTGTAGCAGCGCGTCGAAATTCATCAGGATGAGATGTTTATTACTCGACGAGTGCCGACTCGCCTGTTTCATCGAACGTTCAATTATAGCGTTATAGTTTCAACATCGTCGTAAACACGGGTACATTATTGTTATTAGTAATCAGTAATTACTGTTCCCATAGCGGGGAGAGTCGCTTGCAGTCGTGTGCAAACAACATTCATTATTTCGAATAATTAACGAGCGAATACGGAATCCACTTCGATGCAAATCTGTTTGTTCGCTTCGTATTGCAATTAGCAGTTTATTAAGTTGTTTGCTCACTTATTAGTGAAGTACAGAGTATTCGTCGAACGCGAGTTTCCACGTTGTTACGAGAAGAATGATGAATGCGCGATTGATTGTAAACCGAAGTCCATTTCTTAGCCGACGAGGCGGAAACAATAACGATCTATTATTTATATTATTATTACCGTATCATTAATAATAGCAAGAATTAACAACAACTCGGTACCATTGCTATCTTCAAGTTGTTCGCTGGTAAACGACGATACAGGCGAAGTGAAACGATACTCAGCAAACAACCGGCTAAAATATAATACAGAAAGACGATCGAATTAATGGCGGGCTGTGTATAACCCAAGTTTCCGATGGAAACATCACTTTTCGCTGCGCGAGGGTCCCTTTGTAGTCAAAGTGAATTAAGGAATACCGTTAGTGTCGGTGTAACCGGAGAGAGAATAATGGGAACGATGTTACGAAAGAGATTTCCATGGTAATCAGAGAGAGAGCTCGTCGCCCGAGATGGTTCGGAATTAGCGAATGAGAAGAATAACGTTGCTCGCGAAACGAAAAACATTTTCATCTCGGTCGAATTCCCACAGAGCGGGAAACGGAAGAGGATTGTTCGCCTGCTTCGTACTTTCCGAATACTGGGAGCGTCGACTGAATTATTATACTGTTATTAGCATTGTTATCCATCGTTAATATTTCTATTACTATCCAGTTGCGTGGGTATTATTAAGTATCATTATGCATTATTAGCAGTATTGCTGTCCATTATTGTCTATTACGGTCTATTACTCTCCATTATTATCTATTAATATCTCATTGATAGAACTAACTCCGCCAATCTAGATGTTCGCAAACAGCCGTGGCAATCGATCGATTAAAATCAACTCCGCTCCGGAGTGGGTTAAACAATTTGTGGATACAAAATGTTATAACGGGCTGCGCCCGCTCCGAACTGGTCATCGGTCAATTTGGTACAAAATGGCCGTCGGAGCGGGCCGGCGGAATGGCGAGCGCTTTGATCAGGCACAGATGAATCCGATTGCGGACGCTCGTCACGCGTCGATCGTTCATCGCCGAACGAAACTTAATAGTGCAGACTTTCGGGGAACAGTCGTATAATGTTCGCTGAACCGCTGCCATAGGCGCGGCGCGTCCAGTTTAAACGGGAGGATCAACTGGATCCGAATACTAAACCGAAAATTGCTGGATACGGTAAGAACACACTATCGCGTTGCAGCTGCACGTGGTATCATTGGAACTTCGAAGCTGCCGGGAAGCTGTGCTTGCGGAGAGATAAACTAACCCTGTTCACGGATTCTTTGAAATATAGGAAACCTTCAGCAGATGAATCGATTGCTTAAATAACGAAAAGAAGAAATTGTACGCTGATCTCTTGCTGAGTAATTGAATCGTTTGTTTGCGAGTCACTCTTCCAAATATGGACATTTGATCTCGAAATGTCGACACTCGTACCCAAGGCTAAACCTTGATTAGCTTAAAGATGAATTACAGAATAATTAGAGAGAATATTTATGCTTGCAAGAGAACGTCTATGAGAACATGGGCTAAGATGTTTGTGTTTGAGAGTTGAAACTTCTGAGTATTCTCTTCGTAGGGCAATATTTATTACATTATCTTCTATGGACAATATTGTACCTTCTGATGAGTCAACAATTATTGATTACATTGCTCTTCTATTAAAACAATCCTTTCAGATTCTAGCGATACACCGTCCATAATTCACGTGTTACACAGGTTCGCAAGAAAAATGGCGGACCACGTGTCCGCGGGCCAAGGGGAAGCGATAACGACTAATTTATCGGCAGCAGGGAAACCTGTCGCGATAAGAGCTCGACGAGTCACGTGTTTTTGTTCCCTTTTGCTTCCTCCAGATCGAAATTCTCCGTTGAATCGCGTCCAACCGAGCGTACGCCGTAGTACGACAAAGGAGCGTCATATCGCGCGCACGAAGGGCGAGGGGGGCTAACGAAGGAAAAACACGGTTCACCGCACGAAAATAGAAGGAAGAAGGAATCGCGAGACTAACGGGGAATTTCTTGGAAGCATGTAGAACTCGTTCCACGGCTCGATGGGCGCACGTTCGCCGGATATTCTGACCGTTTCCGCCCGAGTCGTTTGAACTCGGTTCGCCGAATGTTGATGACACGTGGCTCAGTGGAACAGAATTGTTTCAATAAAAGGAAGCTTTTGTTGCAACTTGCCTGGAATGTTAGTCGTCGAATAATTCGATCAATTGTTACTTAATAAATATTTATATTCCCGATTCACGTATTTCAGTACGAACAGACGATGAGATATTCCGGATTGCCATCTCTGAACGTGAATCATGATTTTAAAGTCATTTTTTAAGTTCAGTGTTCAATATACCGATTTTTGTTTCGCGCGAATCCTAAGTGACTTTAGAATATTTAAAACGGATGATACAGGTGATTGGGAATAAAAAATTTGGCTCAGAATGCGTTGACATCGCCGATACACATGAAATGAAAGACAAATTCGTGTTTTCCTTCGAAAATACGTCAATATCCACAGCGAAGCGTCGCCAATCGCGAATTACCGGTAAAATCAAGCAACAGGCATGTCCCTAATGTCGAAAAATCACGAAACTAGGTTCCCGGATCGACGAAACGAGCGAAAAACACGCGAAACGGGCGAGTCGTTAATGTCACTCGTCGAACGACACTCGAGATCGCGGGACGCGACACGGGTCGAATGCAAATTGGAATGTTTACCGAAGTGACCTCGCGTCGGGAGTGCTTCCCGTGGATGAATCGTTCAACGGGGATGCTGAGGCATGAACATCCTCGTTGATTCGCTGTCTGACGGCGTCAAAGAACGCGGCTTGCGATCGAATGCCACAAGGACCTTGGGTCTATCTTTGGCTTGATCTATCAAAACCAAACGGTATTGACACTAGAACTATCGTACCAGTCACAATGACTGGTTCCAATTTTCTTGTCTCGTAATTATCGATGTCTTGAAAGCGACAAATATCCAAAATCACCTAAAAAATAAATAATTTCTGCAAGAATTCCGAACAAAGAAGCTCCAGCAAAGACGAATGATGTTAGAAATAACGATTAACTATTTCACGGTTCTTCTTACACCGTCGCCCGGTTACACTGATTATTATTTCCACTCGACAGCCGTCTCCCTATCGCACAGAAACGTTTCGAAGCAATTCCCCGTTGCGCGTCGGAAGCGCAGGTCGTCAATGGCCATCCGGCAGCCATCAATCTCGGATAAATTCCCTTTCAGCGACAGCGCTGTCCATTTTCATTTGACTCTCGGACACCGGAACGCGTACTTTTGTTTCTCGCATTCGATACGCGGAAATGAATGGGCAGCACCGGGAAGCTCCCCGAGGCGGAGCGCCATGGTTTTATGATCACCCATTGAAACGCAATCAAGCGAACAATTTTCGAAAGTCGATTAAAAATTTCATCTGTCCGCCGACAGACGGTCATTCACTTCGAAATCTATTCAGAATCGAAGACAAAGAACATGTCTCAACGGTTGATCGCGATGAGTTAGTTGCAGCGAACTTGGCACTCGTGACGTCATAGGGAGACGGTCGCTACAAAAACTCCAATTGCGAGTTAGGAAACGTCTCGACGAATCGCGCGCCAGAATCTAAAATTCGCACGAGCGAGGCGTGCGCCTTCGACTCTGACCAATCGGACGAAAGTGCCAGGTTCCCTGCAACGGACAGTTCGTCGTTCGCCCTATCGCTCCGTCGACGAGGGGAGGAACGTTGAAAGGGCCGTTTTGTTAACGCAGATTCCCGCAGAACAACTCGTGCTGCACGCCGACACGCTGCAAGCTGGCGCTCTGGAGCAGCTTCCTGGCCTCGTTCGTCGTCTGCGCCCCTAGCTACTTCGTGTTCGGCGTAAGTTGACCCTACGACACGTAATTCTTCGAGCAAGCACCGCGGAGAAGTTGCTCCGCGAAAGTTTGAAGCTTCTTTGTTCTTTTCCTTTCGAAACGTACGAACCTTCTGACCGTCAGATAAGGAAGAAGACGCTGAACGAGAACGGGACCGTGGAGATCGCGTACATCGTCGACACGGACTACACGCAGCACAAGGACTTCCTGTACCAGCTGAACTTCTGGGTGCTCGGGGTGGTCATGAAGCTCCTGCCCTGCGTCATTCTCACGGTTATCAGCTGCTGGCTGATAAAAGCTCTTTACAGGTAATCTGGAAACAGTAGCCCGTCGATGGGGAATATAACCCGAGGACCGAGGTATCCGGGTCACGTCGTTAAACCGAGATCCTTCATCGCCGTTCCGCCATCTTGACGCGTCCATCTGCTAACACTTAGACTCCGAGGATGCTCGTTTGAAAGAGATAATGTTTTCTCCATTTGCGATCTTAACACGTTGAATGCCATGGGGTGACCCCCAAGCAAATCGAATTACTATAATTCTACTACAATATTCATAGCGATTACATTTCAGTCGTATCAAATGCGTAGTTCTAGTGCTGACTAGTGTCTCGGTAGTTCTAGTGTTAAACTATCAGTTACTTGGAGTTCACAGCTACGATATTGCAATTGTGAGTACATCGCCATCGATTCTGTTGCAGAGCGAAGGGCAGGAAGCAGGTGTTGAAGAGCTACAACCAGTGCAAGGGCAGCTTAGCCATGGGCAACGGGCAGATCTCGCGGAAGCCCAGCAAGTCGGACCGCCGAGCGGACAGGACCACCAACATGCTGGTAGCCGTGTTGCTCCTGTTCCTGGTCACGGAGATCCCCCCGGGCGTCCTGAGCCTCCTGTCCGGCGTCCTGGGCGACTGCTTCTTCCGCACCTGCTATCACAACTTCGGCGAGCTGATGGACATCCTGGCGCTGCTGAACGGCGCCATCAACTTCATCCTCTACTGCTCCATGTCCAGGCAGTTCCGCACGACCTTCGGCCAGCTGTTCAAGCCCAGGATCATGAAGAAGTGGCAGCCCGCCACGCAGCAGACGGACGTGCAGAGCACCTACGTATGATGCCGGCTGAAGGGTCTAGAGACCACGCGTCTCTAGAGGCTAGGCGTCGCGACGCCGAGTGGAAACTGGAAATCGAGGAGACACTTTCATAACTCATCCAGTGGGCTGACCTGGGAAGTTGCTTTTATTCGTCCAAACTGCCAACTTCTGCGGCGATGAGCTAGACTGCGACACTGCGTTGTTGACTGTAGCAGGTTGCACAGGTTGTTGTTGGAGAGAGGACACTTTCCGGTCAGCCCAGACTTCTTACACGACTCGAACAACTTTTGCACGATGCACGACGAGGAGATTCTAGACAGCGACGTTCAGCACCTGTGTGAGAATGTGGAACAGAACTGATGTCTAGGGGCGAGTGAACTGCAGATTTTAGTCTTACCGAGGAACGGATGTTTGTGCTGCATGGACAGTTAGAAACGATTCGCTGGATAGTTTCTAGAGCAGTCGAATGGATCGGTAAGGATGGAGGCAGACTGGTCCGTCGCATCGGGACTTAAATTACTTTGTTTTTCTGTATAGTTCCTCTTCTTTCTCTGCGAATCGAAAGAATCTTTATAATTATACAGACACTTGCACATTTATAGAATAATTCTGTGAAAAGTCAACCCCTCCTCAGTTACAAATAGATTCGCAGTTGAAGGATTAAACCTCGAAATGTTCATTCTGGTAATATTTCGCAGAAGACGTATAAATGTTAACCCTTTGCGGACGAGGATTCTTCGAACTGTTTAAACATTTCAGTGGAAGGTTATTCCGTTATTCGAATAATCCAGTTACTCCTTTGCTCCTTTGTACCCGAAACACAAAGGTTCGACCCCATTAGAATGGCCAGATTCGTCCTCAAAGGGTTGAAATCATAATGTTGTTAACACTAAAACTACTATACGAGTCAAAGTGACCCATTAATTAATGCGTTTTGCGATTATTAAAAAGATAACATACTTCCCTAAGAAACTTTTGAAAACTTTGATACGCAAACTGAATCGTAGATCAATTAAAGCCTCGATGGATGCTAGGAGTTTCTACAGAAATATTTCGAGAATTTAAATACTCGGTAGTTTTAGTGTTAAGGAAATAAAACGATCACCGTTCTGTTGCAGGTATCCATTTAGAATGATCGATAACCCTCGACACGGATAAGCGAAACGCAGGTGTTCCGCTGAAGTTCGTCGATATTTTAATAACATAAACGGCGCGCGTCGTTGACGAACCGTTCGCGCTGTAATTAATTGTATCAGATAACCCCGCGTCGTTGATCGATGTTCGAGCGTGATTCGCGCGGCAACATTTTCAGACTTTGCCGTCGACGTTGCTCCAGAGCGTGGATCACAGGCGATCAAAGAATTTCCATGAAATTGCATCTCGACGGGGCGGGTCCGAGCGAAACGATCGGCCAGCCTTTTTTTTACCGGTCGGTTAATCGATTGCACTTTGACAACGAAACCTACAGATTTCATAGACGAGAGACACGTATATACATATAGGGTGAGAAAAAGTGAACGAAGAATATCGAAGCTATTACATAAACGCTAACGTAGAGTAATTGCGAATGAGACGGTCGGATCTCGTTTAGATTATCGATTATTTCCTTGGATTATTTAGTAAACTAGATCTTTATGATAATGTACATGTAACAAAGTTTAGTTATTTTTATAATAATTTATATATCGCAGAGTTTATATATAAACGCTAGTGTACGCAGGGTAATTCCGTATGAGATGGCCCGAGCTTATTTAGATTATCAATCATCTGTCTTCGATTATTTCGTATTTTTAGTGAATCGTGTTTGTAATAAATCAGTTTCGATAATGAACGAATGAATTATCGAACACGCAACAGTAACACTAGATTTACATTTATCGTATGGTCTGCTCTACTGCTCTTAGGAAACTTCATGTTCGTTCATCGGAATTTGAAAGTTAGAGGTTTAAAAATAGATTATTCAGGTAAGTATAATACATAATACTGGTGTACTTGCCGACAGAGTTAACCGAATAGTGCTTATAAAATTCAATAAGCGTCAGATCGACGCGTCCCGCGAAGCTAGCGTTGAACAAACGAGACGCGCGACACAGGAATGTCGCGTAATAATCGTTTGCCGAGCAATAAACGAAATACCGTGTACTAAATACGTCCGTAAGAATAAAGGAATATCTGCTCGCAAAGTTAGGTATAAAATTTGTCCAAAGATTCGCATGCTTTTCAATTAAACAGAACTCAAAGCACCGATCCACCGAAATCGGATAATAGCTTTTTCATGAGAACTGGGTCGTCTCTGCAGGATTTAACCTGCGTATTACATATTTACGTATACATACATATTATAGGTACGTTAATTAATGTAGCACAATCACGCGGAAAACGAGGATGTGTAATTATATTTCTCGCGGACGTAAAACGCAGCGCCAGCGAATACCGAGCGGCCGCGTTAGTTTTGTACGACGGGGAAACGCTGCGACGGATTTTCGGCTAATGAGCCCGGCCGGAGATCTGTTCGCTTTTATTCGTTAAGGACAAATTATTTATATAGACTTACGAATAAACCTTTCCGTATTAACCGCGAATCTCTGTGTCTTTTGCATTCGCGTCGACCTTCAACCCTTCTCGCTGAGAGAATCCTCTCCTTCACTGCGACTTCCGGTCCTGTAATAAATATTGTTTTGTAAAACAGCTTCTTATTCAATGAAATTTTATTTAACGCAATTAGGACCTGCAATCGTGACTCTTCAAATTTATTTTTTCAACAAAACTATGAAGTTGAATATTTAATATCTCAGATTAAATTTTGCATTGCTACGTGACATGGTTAAATAAAACACCTCTGTTTCTTAGTTTATCTATGAATTATCGTTAATAAAGCTTGGATTATTACTGAAAGTTTCTCTGGAAAATCACCGAATGGGCAAACAATCATTCAGATTTCGATTGTACTAGAATTTACAGTGCAAATCAAAGTCTCAATGAATATACTTACGATACACAAATCCGAAATCTCAGTTTTTCTCTTGATTCTTACAAGAAGCTTCCGAAAAGAGTCATCGTGACTGCAGAGTTCCGTCGAGGTTTCCAAGGGGAAGATTAGCTACACTTTTAGCCAGCCATAAATTTCACGGTTGTTGAGTGCGTTCTCCCTTTCCCTGAAAATACCAGCACCGTGGGATTCCCGTTTTCGCCGGTTCGTCGCTTCTTTATCGGTAATTAGCTCTTTGGGCCGGGCGTTGCCAAAGACGGGCACGAGAGAAAAGAACGGGCACGTTGTAAAAATCATTCGGGGATCCGGTGTGAGCACGCCCGTTCTCTTTACAGGGAAGTGGACCGTGAACGATCCACGTGGGATCGGCGCGACGGTGTCCCGGAAATCGTCGATCGACGGCAGCTGTTGGAAACAGTTGTGATATCGGTTTCGGTTTTTGAAGGTATTAAAACATTGATGGTATTAAAACGCAATTACATCGGCTTCGATGGATCGGAATTCCAATGTTATATCGGTTCTCCATCGATTCTGTAACAGTTATTCTCTGACAAAAGCAGAACCGAAATGAATCAGAAAATTGTAATTAACCCTTTGCACTCCGAGCAATTTTTAGAATGACCTTTTTCACCGTTCCGGTTCTTGAAGGTATTAAAACACAAATACATCGACTTCGATGGATCGGAATTCGAATGTTATGTCGGTTCTCTATCGATTCTATAACAGTTATTCTCTGACAAAAGCAGAACCGAAATGTAGTAAAAAATTGTAATTAACCCTTTGCGCTCCGAGCAATTAGAATGACTTTCCAGCACCGAGTCATTTTTACTGTGAGCTACTAGCTCAATACTTCAGGAGCATTTACAATGAAGCGCAGCTCCGTAAAAGATCGAAGATCCTGCTTTGTCATTGAAAATAAGTACTGCAGAAGAATTCAGAATGGAGCGGAGCTCTGCGAATGATCGAAGTTAACTAACAACTACTTCAAGAGACAATAGTGAACTATTTATAGTAAACAGAACAATCAATTCTGACTTGAATCGCCTTCGGAATCAATTTTCCGCGGCCAAGAGAGCGCGTTCTCAATATTCCCAGCAGCGAATGCGTTAACTGGCAGAAAGTAATCGAAACGTTACGTCCGATTTTCTGGCGGTTACACGGGACGTGTCCGGGCTGCCGTAATCAGCGGCCGTGCACGCGTTTATACAATTACCCGAACGATCGATACCATGAATATGCAAATCGCATAGGTATTCTATGAAAGCGGAGATGTTTTTGAACGTCCGCCGCTCGATCGTCTTGTTTCCATCGGGTGCACCGGTGCGCCCGGTGCACGCGTTCCAGTCCCGACGATTTCACCGCAGCGATGGAGTGAACAGATTTTTATTATTTTCCGTTCCGCCTCGGTGGCTGGTATTCGTTGCTAGAACAACATTGCAGCGAAACACGCCGGTTTTTCATTTTAACCGTCGACAACCGGAGCGCTCCAGCGTTTATCTGTTTGCTTTCCGCTTCGACGTTGACAGTGTGCTTGCACAACCTGGAACAAACATTCTCCAACTTCAACGAAATACAACGTGGCTCGAAGTATTGCAGTTTATTGTCGCTTATTACGATTTAGTTTGCTCGGCTCGAACGACCGTGGTACCGTGACGTTGCGATCATCTCCATTAACCTCTTATGATTTCCCAGCTCTGATCGATACGGCTACTTTGTCATTAATAATTTGGAAAAAGAGGAAAATCCTAAGCATGTGTTACGCCTATATTTCCTTTTAAGTATCATAGTTGATTACAGAGTTTATTCGTCTCTTGTATAAGATGCAAGATATTTCGGAATATCTTACTAGATTAATCGTTAACGATGTCAACAAGAGTAAACGTTATTCTATCCAATTCAATCGAAACTGAACGTCATTTTGCGTTATCGGTTGTCATTAATCGTTAATTCCAGCAAATTGCTTAAGAAATATTCGAGGAAACCATTTTATAGCTAAGAGTTGCTCACTGCATCCGCCATTGTCGCGGTTAAATGGCCGCCTGTCGCCGTACAACTGTTCCAACAATAAACCAGGAAACCTACTAGATTCAATAAACAAACGGAAATTCCTCGAACCTATCGAGTGAAAATCTCGTTGGCAACTGTCGAAAGTCGCTGCAGAAGTGAATAATTCCGATATGCTCATTAAACCTTGAAAAACCTTCGTTTCCTCCGTTTCCCGAGCAACTCCCCTTCCAACATCGCGTGATTCCGCGAGGAGAGGTCGAAGTTGAACCCAACGGCGGCCGACGCGTTGGGATTTCGCAGTCCCAAGGGATTTCCCGCGCAGCGTAATCATCCCGGACCGATATCCGATCACGCAGCATGCAAATCGAATTAAATATATTCGCCCTGATTCCGCGGGACTCGGCTGTGTGCGCTCGTTATTCGTGGCACGCATATGAATCGCGCGGTCGGGCTGGTTCACCGAATTCCCCGCCGCGAGCAATGTAAAAACTTCGTGCCTAAAGGTAATCCACTGGAATTCCGACCGGTGTATCGTCGAGTTTCATCGGGAAATTTTGTTATTTACGTCGGCCGGCTACGAATCTGATTTGCCGTGTCCTGCGAACGGTATAAACGTTTTAGCGTAAGATCCAGAAGAATTTCATCATTCATTCCTATTTCTGTAGAGCTAGAGACATACTTTCTCAATAATGTCCAGAATGAACGTTTAAAAATCGTAGTAGTAGATTCTAATAATCTGATTTACCATGTCCTGCGAACACTATAAACATTCCTATTTCTGTAGAGCTAGAGACTACATATTTTCTCAATAATATTGTCTAAAAACAACGTGTAAAAATCGTAGTAGTAGATTCCAATAATCTATATCGTAAATGATAAGAATACTAACAGAAAGATCGCAGCAATAATAGCAAGGTCACAGAAAATAAGAAAAGTTCCCACAGCTCTCCATCACGATAAACAACAGAAACTATCAGTTCACAAAATAATCTCGTCTACTCGATACGTTCGCGACAGAAATATCTACAAGATAAGAAAAGCAAGACCATCCGTTTCGACCGGTAATTCTCATTTTTCAGGCCGCCAGCAACGCGCGTGCAAAACAGAGCCGCGAATCGATGGCATATCCTGCGCGAGAGGCAATTTACATTCTCCAATTTTACCGGTCGACCAGCGTCCCACGCCCCGCAACCTCCGTGCATCGTTCTGTCGCCTCCCTAATCGAGTTTCTTCGTCAACAGAGGGAAGCTGGCGCAGAAGCGTGTGTCGCTCGTCTTCCTGCGCTGCTCTGCCTTCGGGAGGCTTTAAATTAATTATCCCCGGCAAATCCGATTGAATGCTTTCCCCGTGTGCGTAAAGTTTAAACGCTCCTGCCTCCGCGCGCGCGCCTATGTCCCGGTGTCTTCTGGGAACCGGTCGACTGTACCCGAAACGCAGCGTTGCGCGCCGCAAATTCTAAATTCATTCAAATTGATTTCTTATTAATCGCGCCTATTAATTCCACGGAAATTCGAGGAGCTTTCTGGCGAGTGGTTTGTAAGGGAATCATTGGAGGATGAACCGAGATCACGGGGTGGAATAATTTATTAACCCTTTGCACTCGGGTCTTTCAGTGGACGTTTCACTCGACGCGATATAAAAATTGGAGATTCAGTGTTAAATTTTATGTAACGTGTAGGAACAACGAAATCAAATAATTCGAATATATTTTGTAACTTTCAAGTTACAATGACGTTAAACTTTCATGCTTGAGCGTTAATTTCATTCACCACTTCGAGTGTAAAATGAAATAAATCAACAAGATGCCAATATATGTGACTTTAAAGTTACATGGGCCTACAGAGGGTTAATGAAGTGGTTATTGAGTTATTTGTTATTTATGGTGTTACTATATGTTAGTAACAAGTATCGTTCAAGCTCGGGAAATAAGATTTATAATGAGGAATTCTCGAGTGCAAAGGGTTAAAGCAATCTTCAGTTCTCGCTGAAGGACGACTGAATCGCCGATGAATAAAATATTGACGAACCAATAAAACGCGGTTGCACCGGAGAATCCGCATCTTCGGAAGCTCAAACAAGACACACGCTAGCGGTGGCGCAAAGTTTCGCCGAGCAGAATTTCGTGTATTCGTAACGAACTAGTCGACTGCGGAGGGACAAGTTGATCGAAGTTTAAATTAACCGGCACAAGGTTCGTTAACAAAATATCAGAATACGCGCGATAGATCGGCGAGGCTGACGATCGCGCGAGAGGCAATCCGTTAAGAAACAGTTTAATTACTTCCTTAATGCACCCGTTTCCCGATCACGGTCCGATAAGCAACGCGCTGTGACGCGAGGGCGGCGGTTGGAGCGTGAACTTCCAGTGAAAAGAGACGGCGAACGGGTTAATCCCGCGAAGCCGAGCGTCCGGGATAATGTCGGGAAGAAAAATCGAAGGGACGGCCGCCTCGATGTTGCTCCGTGATCCCTGTCCCCGCGAATCGCTGACACGTCCGTTGGGAGCAGGTCAATTAACCCTTCGCGCGCGGGGATTCTTAAAATACGCCGAGCCTTCGGCAGACGAGGGTGAATTGTACATTGAACTCCTAAATACTGGAGAAACATAGAATTATGCGGTGATCTCTTGTTGCTTGAATAATTCAATTGTTTGTAAACAATCGGGTTGAAGCCTCGACAGTCGTCCGGACTTCCCCTTTCGATGGAATCGAAGAGAATATCGTCAGGAATCTTGTAAGGATTACATGTTGACATTGTTAACCTCTTAACACGTCGATTGCCATGGGGGTCACCGGTCACTCAATTTAACCATGATTATTTGGAAACATTTCTATGTTATAAATAATGCTAACTAATGTGGTGACATTCAGCTAGATGAACCTGCAATACTAACAATGCAACTCAATCAAATGATTTAATATTATATTTTTTCCATTTCAAGTATTTTGCACCATGAAATCGTGCGGCATTCAACTGGAAATGAAGATTTGGCAAAATCTCGCGTGGGGAGTTCTTACTTATTTTAGGCAGATTTATCAGTAATTTTGTTTCTGAATGATATTGCATAGAGCGATGCATTTCAAAGTAATCTGAAATGAGTACAAGAGTGTCGGTATGTAAGATAGCAATTTTGGAATGAAATCATCTCATGTGTGGTATGTCTTTCCAGTAAGAGGTTGATAGGATCAACATGTGATCCTTGCAAAAATCCTGACGATATATTCCCTTCAGTTCAGAACGACTGTCAAAGCTTTTGATAGGCTCGGTGGTTCCAGCGTTGAGAAAACTGGGTCTCCTCGACACGTGGCGCGTTCGAGCGAGGAAACGGATGACTGAAGAATCAGCGGCGGGTCGAGAAGAAGGGGCGAAAGTTCTGAATAATCCGGGAGCCCGAGGAAGGAGGATTGGTCTTCATAAACTCTTTGAAACGAGACGAAGTCGAACGTGCAGGCGAGTTTTATTCATTTCCACGGGCTTTCTCGACACCCTTCAGCCGTCGGCGACGGCAACTTCAAACTTCGTCCTCGCTGAGGACTCTGGTCGCTTCGTCGCCGGACGCCTTGTCTGCTTGAAGTTTCGTCGACAGCCTCTTCGCCGTCTGCGTTATCTGCGAGAACAAACGAACAAGACGTTAAAATTCTGTACAGCAAGGGTCAGGACAATTCCGAGTTGGAAGCTAAACAAAGTTGGAAGCTTAATACGTTGGAGAATTCCACGAAGCAAGATATATACACGAGATGAAAGAAACGTTAAATCGTTTAACACTAGAACTACCGTACCACTCAAAATGACTGGTTTCGATTTTTTTGTTTAGCAATTATTGATATCTTCGAAATGATTTTGAAAGTAAATAGTTTCATTTGAGTACTATAATGGATGTCTGAAGAAACTGAAGATAAGTTCCTATAGGAATTGTATATTAATCGTATTAAATGCTCTAGTTCTAGTGTTAATCGTATCACGTTCTTTATAGTGTATCGTTATTTATAGTTGTAGTGTGCCTATGGTATATTGTTTACAATATTAGTTATAGTACTGTATAGCATTATTTACAGTACACTTGTAATATAATACATTAGTCATCGCTTAATTAACTGAACAGTAATTGGATTTAGCCACGACATTCAACGTGTTAACTTCCTACAAATTCACCTCGGTCTATCCAGTAATTCTAATGTCACATTTTTTCCTCTAGATACTTCTGATAACGATACCAAACATCCGCATCACGACGACGAGAGACTTGCCTGCGCGTCCACGTCGATGACAGCGGTGATATCATTCAGCGACGTTAAAAGTTCCTCGGCGCCGCCGGTGTTTCCCAGCGCGCTCAGGGTGATCGCGTAATTAATTAATATCAGAGGATCCTGGGGCGACAACGCGTGCGCCTTCTGCAACACCTTCTCCGCGCCTTCCAGGTCGTCCAGGCGTTTCAGGGCGACTGCAAACGGCAATGACCATCATCGAGCATCCTGCCGGCGGTGATATTCTCCGCGGTCGATACGATTAGAATTTCCTATGCGACAATGACACACAAACCTATCTCCTATCGCGACGTCCGGCCGCGTTGCGAAACTCGCTCCGCTGTTCTCCTCCCTTTTCCCTCTCGCTTTTCCATTTTTCCCGTGCGCGATAGGAATGTATCACGCGGCGGTCGCGGACGCGACGCTCGCCGAGAATTATGGCGCCGTAACGAGAGAAAAAGAAGAATTATAGCGGAAACACGGCGGAGAAAAAGCTTCGCGGTTGTTATTATTAATAACGACGTCGCCCCGAAGCTGATCCTCCCCTTTGTCTCGTGCCACCGGCCTGTCCGTCCCGGTTTTTGAAGGCTACTTTGCCTGGTAATCGAATAACGGATGATCGATGCATCGATGACACACCGAGCACACAAAGAACGCCGCCGAACCGGGCTCCCGTTCTATCGGCTTTTCCGCCGTGTCCCGCTTTTTCATCAACATAACATCAACGAGATTATACGCCCCGGGACAAGAAGATAGCGCACACTTTTTCCATATTTTACGAATGCGGACGTGCAGCGGGACTCTCATTTTAAACTTGTAGAAGAAAAACGTTGCCGGAGAATGGGGTGCAATATTCGGGCGACTCTCTTTACTTTTCTCAACTAATCGCGAAAGAAGTTCTTCTGATCGAACGAGAATCTTGGTGAACGGGAATCTTAGACGGAAACCTTGGTGAACTTAGGAAAGATGGCGACTCGTGTCAAACTATAGACATTATACCGGAGAAAGTTCGTGCGAGTTCTTAGAAATCCAAACACAGAATGTTTTTGAAATAATGTTTTATATGATACTGTGAACGTGACTTGCTACTAATCTCATTAATTAACCCTTTAGCCACAGAATATTACGTCAACGTATATTTCTGATAAGCTGTATTGAAACCATCGAAACACTGAATTGAACGAAATCAAACCACTCTAAAATAATCATATTTATACAATATATGTCAATGACATTTTACAGCCTATGGGGCCAACAGTAGCCAAAGGGTTGACTGGTGCAACTAATTGAAATTGAACCTCGATTCATGGCTAACAAGACCGCACGAATTTTCCCGGCTAATTCTAGGCTACTCAGGTAATAGCAAGAAGAGCTGCGTGGTCCTTTTGTCCCAGATGGTGCTTACGTCCAAGCAGAAGATAGGCCATAGGGTTGCTGGAATCGGCGCTGACCGCGGCACACAGGTAGACAGCGGCTGATGCGGGTTGCCCAGTGGTCAGCAGAACCATGCCGAGATTGTAAGCTGGCAGGAAGGCCATCGGGCTCAGGTAGTGTGCTCTCTTCAAGCAGGTGATCGCCTGCAAAGGTAAACACAAAGAGTCTTAGAGGTAGGATAAGAATAGTGTGTTGATTAAATGCCCTGGAAGTTGCGTGCAAAGAGAAATATATAATGAAATATTTGAATTAACCCTTAACGAACCGGAAGTATTTCAAGTTTGCTCACCGGCGAAAGTACCTTGACATAGATAAGAAGGAAATTCATAGAAACTAGCGTGATACTTCACGTGTTCATTGTAAATATTACAAGAGCAGTGATGAAAATAATAAAATGGCGGTGTTAACCCTTTGCGCTCCTATTTCTCGAATAGATCATATTATATTATTCTCAATTAGTAAGTTTCCTATTAGTTTACCCTCTACAAACTATCTACTCCTCCAAAAGCGTTCCAAAGAAAATATCCTAATAATTATATTAAAATTATATTGCTTTCAATATTATTAGTAAGAAGAATCATTTAAACTGCTCTCTACAAACTAAATATTCTTTCAAATGCATTCAATTATCGTAATAATACAGCGTTACCGAGGGGAGAGCGCGAAAGGAATTCGGAGTGCAAAGGGCGAAGGGTTAATAATAATCAGGGATCGTTCGGATTATGCAAACGCCGGCGGAGGTGATCGATTGCCGAACGGGCGACGCGTAAAAATGAACTTGTCGGTCCGGGAACCGGGGCGAGAACGCGTGACCCGGCATCCCCGTTTTTTCTTATCCGACCCGCGCGTTTTTCCTCGGCCGGCCTGTTCCCGAGGTCTTCTTATCGGCGGCTGGGCGGCCAAAGCCGAGGTTTAAACTTAATCCACTTAACTTCGGAGCCTGGGCCCGCTGGCTGTGCGTTAGCGTCCGACGGAATAACACCGAGTGGATTAAGAAACTTTCTCCCTTTCCGGGGGCTGCCGTGCTCCCCCGCGCCGGCAGAACGTTATTACCGTTCTGGAAATATTTAACCGCGTAACCCCTTGACACGTTAGACGCCGCGAAAATCTCAAGCGTTTTCCCATAGAGTTTGTCTTTCGTAGCAAATAAAAGCGGGAACAATTATTGTAGTATCTAGAATATTTAGCGTAGATCAAAGTATTGTAGGATGAATGGTTTGTCGTGCACGCGTAAGGGCGACCAGGTCGTATTGCGACCAGTCACCAGTGACTGACACGGCGCTTAACGTGTCAACTCGTCGGGCTTAGGTGGGTCGAACGCTGTCCCAACTTTTGCATAGCTTCTTATGCACGGTGGGATTTAATTCGCTCGAAAAGCTGAAGCTATTCATAATCGGACAGCTTAATATTTTATTTCAAGTTTCTCGAGCAGTCGGCAAGGCTATTAACTGACGGTGAATGCGTGAATAATTCAACCCTCTATGGGCCGAATTTATGTTCATGATTATAACAAAATCTAGTACAAAATTAATAAATATCCACATATGAATATGAATTAACAATGTACTGAATAGTTTCGATAATTTCATCAAACGAATATATTTTGTAACTTTCAAGTTACAATGTATACCAGTCAAAACGCAGTAGTAGGTTGTTGAGACTGTTGCGTTATGACTGAACAGAATGTTACTTATTCTACTGGAATTTATAAAAATCAGAAGATGGAAATCGACCGCATTTTCTGAGCTACACGTATGATGCTACGACTGGTATTCATTTCGCTGGTTTTCTCTTTAGCAACGCGCAGTGCTCTTTGAAGCGGCGTTTTCCATGATGCTCCCGATAATCGAAAGAGAAAGGAGGTTTGCTCGGCTCGGTGTTCTTTGCCGCGTCTCTGGAAGACGTTCCGAAGCAAACCTAGAAGCGTAATCGCTCCGATCCGAGTTGAATAAACTGTTATCCAGACAACTCGACTGTTTGAACGAACTCCAATAGGAACTCCATCTTCGCTGTGTCAATCGCGGTGGCTTATATAACGTCTGCGTCGGTAATTAACACAGCGACTCGCGGAACTATTAATGGCAACTAGAGCATTATGTTAAATGGAGCATTCGTACGTTTCCGCGTTTTTCAGCAAGCGCTTCTTACTGCAATCAATCTTTCCTGTAATTAGTCTGTTTACAGAAAAATGTAAACAGGTTCATACGTCAAACTCTTTCTTGAGAAACGTGAGTAAATCACCTTGTGGAATGTTAGATCAAAGAGATGGCCCACTTTTTTTGAAAGTACTGTTGCATCGAATATTGCTCACACTGGACTCTAAACAGTCGAGTGGACTTTTTCAAAATTCTCTACAGAAACTCATATTCAGTTTGCGTTACTGAATTTCTTTGGTATATAGTAAATACGAAGAATATTTGAGTCCACTGTGCAAGGACCATATTTCTCGGAATTACTCTAATATAAATGATAAATGAAAATTAGTATGAATTGCTCAGTATATACTCTTTCGTTTGAAAAGACGTTGACCTTCCGTTCGCAGTGTAACTGGTCGAAACGAAGCACAAAGGAATCGATCCTGTTTAGCACGATAGAACCGGTGTTCTTCGCGTGAACTGCACTTCCAATTAGAGGATACCTCGAAGTAATTTACATTCACCGATTCCTCTTGCTGCAGCGTTGCACGGCTCAGTCTCGTCCCCTAATTAAGTTCCTTCGGAACGCAAGTGTGACCCGGCCATCACTCGAAGACCGGGCCGCGCGTGCACCGTCCTCTTTAATGGACTCTGAATGAATTATCGTCGTTCAATCCTGGACGGAATTTTCTCCTCGGGTATAAAGAACAAGATGATTCATCGATTGCCGCCAGCCAGGTGGCAAGAGTCGCTTGAAACGATCACATACGTAGTTTCTCTGAGTCCGCAATAGAATTTCGACGGTTCCAGTAAATTCTCTTCCGCGATACAAAGTTTCTCTCGCTAGTTATTCAATTCTGATCCCAGCAACGAATTGTCTTCTGCAATTAGGAACGCAACGTTCGCCGGAAACGACCGTTCGAATTGTCTCTCGAGCAACTAGTCTTCGAGGGACTATTATTCAACAGGGGTGGAGCGCGATACGTAAAACCTGGGATTTAATTTCGTGGCGAGGAATTTATCGGAAATCCAGGCGCGTGGCCATTATTCAATTTTGATCCCTCCATAACCGGAAGAATGCCGACGCCGCAGTCGCAACCGCCATTTCTATCCGCCGGAGAATCCAAATATCCGTCGTCTGGCGAGGAACGAGGGATCGTTCGCCAGTGGTGGACCGAGAAACGTCGCGCGGAGAATCACAGACACGTGTGTTCGGACACTTACAGCGACGAATTTCTGTTTCCCGTAGAAGCACATTCCCACGTTGTTCCATAAAGCGTGCGACTCCGGGATCGACTGCGCTGCCAGCTTGTACTTGGACAACGCCACGTCGTACTCCTGGTGATTCTGGAAAGCAACGATAATAAATGCTTTATTGCGTTTCGTGGAGTTTGATTCATAAAAATTCCATGAGAATTCTATTCTTGAATTCCTCTTTCCCAATTCTTCTGGAGCGACGGATGTTTCTTTGAGAAACGACTAAAGGAACAAATTAGTAATCGATGATTTATCTATTATTTATTAGAATCTCAACTGTACTCTTGGAGTTTCTATGAAGATATTTGGAAAAGAGGATTTCATTTCGGTAATTCTAATGTTAAAGGTGTTGTTTATAGAAACGATCTATAGGAGAAAGCAATATACAGATAAAAGAACGCATAGAAATAAAAAATTATTTACTGGGCGAATTGGAAAAATGTTAAGGGTTCAGAGAAAGGAAGGAAATAAAACGTGGGCATTTCTACGCGTTCCTATTGCTCGTGAATCCATCAAATCGATACGCTGCAACGCGGTGCCCATACACTAATTAAATTTTCGACGAATATCACGAGAAAATGGACGTAATTTACACCGAAACGCGCTCCGTATTTTCAGCATGCGGGTTATTGAAAAGGAAACTCGAATCTTTAAAAGCATCACCGACGACATCCGCGCGCTGTGAATATCGAACGGAATATCCCGCGCCATTCGGCGGACGATATCGCTCGGAAAATTAATTATACATCAAAAGGTATTAATACAGCAATTTCCGGTATCATTCTATTAACATTAATCCTCGTGTTTGCGTTACATTATTGCGTTAGTTTTTAAACACGTTGATCGCGGTACCTCGTTTCCGACTCGATATTCGAAAAATAGCGCTTTTTTGTGTAGTTTCGAGTTTACGCGGTAAACATCGTTGGATCTGGCTAATTCGGCCATTATGGTACCGCACAGCCAGTCACGGGAACTTAAGTTCATTACGCGTCGACCGCGAAGCCAATTTTCGGGAGGTGACCTATCGAAAACAACGGTGTAATTGATTTGCAATGCCATTAGATTTTGCGGTGAATCATTACGCTGCACGTCTATAATCGGTTCGAACCGTGCCCGACGTCGATAAGATCGATACAGCGGCGACTACCGTGTACGACCGCCCATTATTCTAGTATCCAAACGACGTATCACTCAAATATTCTATAACGCCGGTATACTGCATCCCAGCCTCTTCGATATATTAATCTGCACATTATAGGAACGCACATTAACCCTTTGCACTCCAGAAATTTTCACTGGAAACACTCAATATTTCCTAATGAGCTGCAGATGAGATTTTCCAAAATTGATTAGACAAGAGCGCATACACTGAGGAAGGAAACTATTTTCTTTCAATATTTCATATTGATGCATACAAAGTTGAATATTAAACCTCAAACTTTACAATTTAGCTGTGTCAAATCAATGATTGGCGACTGAGAGGCGCCTCCGGAGTGCAAAGGGTTGGTTTCGTGACTCAACAACCGGAAGTATGTAAAAATTATAGAATTTACAAGTGTTTGAACGATCATTTCCAGAGGTCATTATCTGAACCCACGAAACTCGGGGTACCGCAATAGCGATCGTTCCGTTCGCCCTACTGATAGTCCAGACGCTCAACTATAGGTCAATACATATTTCCATAGCCAAGCGTATCCTGCATATCCAAACGATATTTGAATATCGAGATCTACATTCCCTTGCTACGAAGTGTTCGGCGTTCACCGCGGGAATAAGAAATGCGCGTGTTCTCTGATGTTGGTCCGATGATGGGAATCTGAAATGAAGCACGGGTTTCGCAACGGCGGAAGTCGATGCCAGCATTGCCAACGAACCATATACAAAAACTCGAGAGACGTCGTATTCTATTACACATTCACCTCAACGTTTCACTTGTCGAATCGTTGAAGTCACTTAACAAGGCAACTTGAACATTAGTATAACCATAGCCTCTTTCAACTTTAATTGAACTCGTTGAACAGATTTGATTAAAAATTGTATTTCCTAAAACAAGAAAGATATTCGATGAATGCAAACATCTTCAATGGTAGACTTACTAAATAACAGCACAAAAATGAACAAAATGGCAATCAAGACATGTTGCTCTCATCAAAACTTTCGCAGGTTTGTTGGTAATCTAATCTAAACAGCGAATTGACCGCAATTATCTTAGTTGCGAAGAAAAGAACGCGCGCATCCGGCAGAGCTGCATCAGCCGAACGAAGGAATCGCATCATCCGAAGAATGGGATCATCGAATCGGATGGAAACCATTCCCCCTCCCATCGCGGTCTGCATACCTTTGAAGTAACGCTCACCTGGATTATGTAGGCAATCGGTAGAATCGCCCTGGTGCAATTCGGGGAATGGGCGAGCGCGGTCCCGAATTGCTGGAACGCTCGCTGAACATCGCCGATTTTAAGATACAGCAGACCCAATTCCGTCGCGGCTTCGATGCACTCGGGATTCCCGCTGAAACCCCAAGAAAATCGGTCGAGAAGACTGCGACTCGTTCCGCCGGGTGATCGAGATTTTCGCGGGAATTTATACGGCAACGAGAACAACCGCAGAAATTGCAATTCCAACGAGAATTTTAGTCGAAAGTGAAACTATCTGAATCAAGATTACATTGTAGGTATACGGCTGCAATTACCGAACTACCTTTTAGGTATTCATAAGTGGCTTTTGGGTAAGAGCCGCCCAGTAGGAAATTGCTCCCAATGTTTCGCTATCATTGCAGCTTCATCAGGGTTAAAGACACTAATACAACCTAATGAGCAATGATGGCGAAACGTTGGGAACATTTTCCTATGGACACGGCTCTCACACAGAAGCCACTTATAAGTATAATATTCCACTATGAAAGCATTAACCCTTAGCAGTCCTATGCCTATGCAACCTCTACCTGTTTTAACAATTTTTTCTACATTTATTTGTATCACAATTGTACCATTTAAAGGTAACATTTCCCTGACTCCCAAATATTCTTGAATAAATAGGGTCATATTAAGCTGTCATTGAATGAACTAACATCCACGTGAACCTCGAAGTGAGAAACCAAGAGCACTTCGGACCGCAAAGGGTTAAAGCTACCCATTAAGTAGCTCCAGCGTTGGACAACCAAAGACAATACGGAAGTCCGTTCCCTAAAAATTGCTAGCCTCCCGATTACCATCGTCCCCTCGTCTATCATATCAAAATCAGTATATACTGTTTCCAGAAGCAACAGACAACGTAGTAGATTCCGAATTTACAACGAACAGCAGCCTGTCACCGGAGAAGCCGGGAAACCGCGATGGTAATCAACGGACCGCGACAAATTATCTGGTAAGCGTAGTTTCTGTTTGCTCGGCGGCTTTTTTAATCCGAGACCCGCGGCCCGCGACGGGAGGCAGAAACGTAATACGGTGGAGCGCGGCTCGTAAACAAGATCATTCGAGTCGACTGCGTGAAATGAAATCTGCGCGTGCAAGATGCTTGCGAGGTCAAGCGCGCGGTAATCGTGGAATACATTAAAACGGAAACGAGCGGCGCCCGGGCCCTGCGATCTACCTAAGAGCCGCGGTGTAAGCGTTCCGGGCGTCGTTCACTTGATCCTCCAGCAGACAAACCCTGGCCAGGGCGATGTACGGCGATTCGTCCTTAGTTAGCTCGATCGATCTCTTCAGACACCTTTTCGCCTCGGCCAGTTCGTTCAACTTGGTGTAACACTCGCCTGGAAGAGAAGATTGTCCATTAGTAATGATATTTATTGTATTGTTCCTGGAAAGATATTTTGAGAGCAATCTCTGATCAGAGAATGACAGATTTAAAGAAGATTGGCAGATTTAATTCATTTAATTTTGTATAACTCACTTCTTCACTTAGCTCTTTGTCTTGCGATGAAATGATTATCGAATTGCTTCTGGATTTCCAGTGCTATCGTAAAGGATATTAGAACTTGGCCTTAATTTTTTGATCAGAGACTATGGAGACTCGAACACTACGGATTAAGATACTGTATTAACCCTTTGCGGAAGTATTTCGTTAGCAATACTTAACATTCTCCAACTAGACAAAGACGATTAAATGAATTCAAAGAGAAATCACAGGTAGATTGAGAAACAAAGCTTTTCTGTCCCAATATTTCGCGCACCGGTGCATTATACATAGTTCAATATTGAATATTAAATTTTCTAATTTTACTTCGTTAAATCAAATGGTGGAGAGTCACCTCTCGAGTGCAAAGGGTTAATCAAGATCAACGGGAACTTTTACCGGATTTATCGAGTGTAACATCCGTGAATTTCGCGTGTTCCGTAAATCTAATGTTAATCTTCCCTGTGTGCAGGGAGAGCGGAGCGTACGTTATGTAAATAAAACGAAGTTTATATGGGCACGGCGTATACCCACGAAAATTTACAGAAACCAGCGCGGTTTCATTGAAAACATAGTAATGCGAGCGCTTCGAAACACCATCCTCGACGTTTCATCTTAAAATTAGCCAGTAGCCTTGCCTAGGTTCAGATAAATCTCCCAGTCAGGCACGTTCAGTATCTTCTCAGCCTCCAAATACGCGTCGATCGCACGCCTGTGACTGCCCATTATCAAACTGTCGGATTAACAAGACGCAATTAGTATTCGTATTCGGAAGGAAGGATTATTCGAATGAAATTCAATTCTCTGTCTAAATTTTAGGAAACACCGCTGCCCGAACAATTAAACTCTAATTCAACGGACCAGTCGATTACCAAAAACAAAAAACACTCGATGAAGATTCTTAACCGATTGGAATTGTTCAGGCATCGATGCAAGATAAGTAATTCTGTTCCAACGATGTTTATACTCTGTTATTTACAATCCTATCTACAGGCGGCACGGAATTGCCCAGACAAAGCGCAAATAGAGTATTTAAATAGATTTTCTACAAGGTCCTCCCCGGAGCGGGAACCGGAGAATCGAAGCGGCGAACGAAATAGAGAACGCCGGATTGAACCGTTCAACCGGGGAAAATGACGTCGTGTATGTAACAATCCAATTAGATTGAGTACTGTACTGTCTGGATCCAATTTAATCTCCATCGGAGTTCTGGTTCCTTTTACTTACAGCGACTTCGCGATCTGTTTCACGTTATTAACGTTCGTCGAATTGACGTTGTAAGCCGCCTGAAAGCAGTTCAACGAGTCCTGCACTCTTCCCTCCCTCCTGAGGATCAAGCCCTGCAAGAAACAACGAACACACCGCTGATCCTTTTAACATTCCCGAGACTCGACCCGTTTCGGGTGCGTTCGCTCACTTTCAGGTAATTCGCGTACTCGTTGTGCCCGTTCGATTTCGACAGTTCCTGGTCAATCAGGATTTTACAGGTCTTGTACTCGTGCCGCGTGTAATGCCGATGCAGCAACCAATTGTTGCTCTCTATCGCCGGCACTTCTGGAGCTGTTCAATGAATAAAGGGCTTCTCGTTATTGTTTCTCTTTGACAATTAACGAGAGAACCGTTTCGAGCACACAACAATTTCAAAAAAACGTTTCTTCCCTTCATCCTCTAGTTTCAGAGATATTTTGAAAAATGTACTTTCAACCCTTAACTTTGAAGGGTGTTTCCACTCGGTCAAAGTGGATGTTGAGCGATAACAAAAAATATTATATCGTTTCACGTAAGTTTCATCAAAATCGAAAAGGTTCCCTTGTAAGATCATTTGCAATCCACTATTTTGATTCTACGATCGATGCTGATCCTCGTTATTTAATAATTGTTTCGCTTCTATCGGCGCAGAGGAATCGCGTTTCCAGCAAAGTGTAACGACAGTGAATTTTTTCGCGGTATCAGTAGGCAACCGGAAGCACGAGATCGCCGCTCGAATAATTTGATACGGTATCAACGTATCGCCGATGAATTCCGAATAATTATCCCGTTTCGGGAAAGGGACTTAGATTCGTGAGGAATTATCTCTTATCTGTTTTATCAGTCGCCGATCAAATTCCATTTTTAATACGACCTTGTCAATAAATTTGTCAAGCGCGCGCGCGTGTTGCGTGGCCTGTTTATTGTACCGTGTGTACGCGTGGACTAAATAAAACCACCTTTCTTCCCTTTATCGCTTCTCATCCGCTGCGACGCCGTCGTTTGTTGCTGAATCCGGCCATTACTGAGGATACTGTTCGCCATTGTTGGAATACTAAAAACAACGTTACACAACACCATTCGTACTGTGCATCGTTACGGTAGAACTTCAGTGGTATGTTGTTGCCGTTGCTTGTCATGACAACCGTTTCGTTAAGCTCGTTTCACAGCGGATTAGACGGTTCCGTATAAAATTAACGAGTACATTGAACGTGGAGATATTCTGATGATTACTTGAAGTATTTTGTTCCTTCCTAGGTTCTGTATATATATACATGGAGTAGTATTGTCAGCCAAGGCAGGATAATTCAGACCTGCGACATTTGTATTAATTTAGAATAAAACTTTCTGAATTGTTTTTGAGCGCTACAGTTAAATATAAATGAATTGATATAGAATTGAATAAATGATACGTGAATTGTTACTTAAGCTTAATCTACTTGTAGTAGATCTTGTATGTCTGAGTAAAAAAAGGCATCGTGTTAGAGCTGTACTGTAGAGTCATTGAGACTGTCAAAGAGATTACTTATGAGAAGATCGAGGAAAGAAATAATTTATTGGAAAAACCGGTAGTTAATTTAATGTCAGCTGCACGTAAAGCTGCCCTGGGTAAGACACGCAGCGCCATCGGGGTGATAACAAAAACTACGAGACGTCGGCAGCGCATCAACATGGTTACGGGTAGTTGTTCTGAAACGATAACGAGGGAAACATTGAAAGATTGTAACATTTAAGTTACAGAGGGGAATACGTTGTGAAAAGAGAATCCCGTAAATCGGATATAAAAACTGTAGCTCGGCGAGTGAACGGTGTTGACCGGACGGTTGATCAGTGGACATACGGTGCTTGTGCTCTTATAGTAGCAAGATGTAGGAATACTGCATAGTATTAGTTGCCAGTGTTGCAAAGTGAGGGTTGCCTATTATTGTGAGTTGTATCTCTGTTGATCTTCTATAGAACATCATATTTAAATACTGTTCACCCTCGTCGCAGTTTTTTATAGGTTATCCTACGTACCAGTATGGTCCCACACTTGCCGCTTATCCACCTGTTATCAGTCACAAAACCATCAATCGCTTTTTTATAGATACATACGTCCTTGTAATTTTTGTCACGTTCTATCGAACACCGTCAGAAAGAAAAACTTGTAGCTGAAAAGAAAACATTAAAGTAGTGGAAACCTTGAACATTGTTTTTTTGTTCCCTGTTTTAATCCTTTGCTTCCTGCCTCCATACTATCTGTTACCTTCCCAGTACACATTACACACTGGTGATTTATGTCACAATGTTTGTACAGTTTGTATTGTAACGAGTTCTTGCTGCTACACGCTGAAAAGAATAATACGTTGTGTCTTAATTATATGTTCATTAATGTAGATAGTTGATGCTTTTGATTTTTCATTAATTTGTTCTGTTTATATGTTTTATGTTCGATATAAGTTTGAATGTAAAGTTGAAAACCTCTAATGTATGTGCATAATATTTACTACTAGTATTATCGAAGTATATCATTGATGTATAACTTAATGAGTACTGTTAACTTTTCAGCAATCAATTTTATCGTGATGCCATAATCAAAGAGGAAAAGTTTTGGATATATCATGAGCTGCTCCGTAGAATTACGACAGCGTAGGCAACAGGGGATGGCGGAGGATCCTCACAAGTTGGCAGCAATGATGAATAAATCGCAAAGACTTGTACTGGGACTTTTAATTTTACTCTTAGTAGATATAATTTGGGTTTCTAGCTCTGAATTAACTAAAGTAAGTATTAATTTTTATATTAATTTAAAAGCTGTTATAATTACCTTCAGATTGTGTGTACTAACGTATGGTTTATGTTTCAGTACATTTATAGGGAAGCTGCATTTGAGAAACCATTTTTTAGTACATATGTAAAAACATCTATGTTTACACTTTATCTGCTGGGTTTATGTTTCTGGCCACCTTGGCGGGATCAGTGTAATAAGCCTGCAACATACATGGTAAATTTCGATGTAAATAACATTCTTAAAAAAATTATATTTATGTTTGCTTTTTATTTTCTTTTTTAGTTTATAGATCCTAATGTTGAGGATGATAACTTCTACTCAGAAGCCAACACAAGTTTGGTAAGTATCCCTTCATTCGTTATTAGCATTTGTAACAACAAGGTGCTGTATTATTGCAGAGTGATCCAACATTTGTTCCAATTAAAACACCAGATCATTGTGATCGTTCCTCAGGCACAGAAAGTGATGATTCATCGATACGTTCTGTCCGATTTAGTAAGTTAGCAGAAGTCAGGCATATGTCAGAAACTGATGCCACAGAAGCATTATTAGCGAGACTTAGTTACCAAGCTAGCTTAAGAGCTGGAGAACATGTGAGGCGACAAGCCAACAAATTTTCTGTGCAAAAAGTTGCTAAGATTGCACTTATGTTTTGTTTACTTGTATGTAGCAATTTATCAACTTCCGAGAACAGTACCGGTATCGATACGCTAACATTCGTGTATTATGTTGCAGTGGTTTATGGCAAACTATACTTATCAGATCTCATTAGCGAAAACTGAAGCTGGAGTTGTAACGGTATTGTCATCAACTTCTAGCTTGTTTACGTTATTCCTAGCTGCCTTCTTCCCAAGCAATGGAGGGGATAAATTTACCTTATCTAAGCTAGTTGCTGTATCTGTCAGCATTTTTGGACTAGTGTGTATACTCTCATATCTCGGTATAGCTGATAATTCGTAAAGTATAATTATCATCGTGTTTTCCTCAATTTTCAGGTGTTAGTGGGTCTTTCAGATTTAACTATAGAAACTAATAGAATACCCACAGGTATAATATTGGCGCTAGTCAGTGCATTTTTTTATGCTGCTTACATTGTATTTTTAAAAAGGAAAGTTGATCATGAAGACAAGATGGATATACCAATGTTTTTTGGTTTTGTTGGACTTTTCAACTTAACACTTTTATGGCCTTTATTCTTCATACTTCATTATGGCCACTGGGAAGAGTTCGAATGGCCGAATACTCATCAGTGGACATTTTTAATCATCAATGGTCTGATCGGTACCGTTTTAAGCGAAGTGCTGTGGCTATGGTAAATTTGTAAAAGAATTTACTGAACTAAAATCTGTAATTTTTTAACACATTCATGCTATTACCTTACATTTGTAGGGGTTGTTTTTTAACATCGTCCCTTATAGCAACATTGGCGGTTAGTTTAATTATGCCAATGTCAATGATAGCTGATGTATTACTAAAGAAGGTTGAATATCCATGCATTTTCTACTTAGGAACAGTACCTATGCTTTTAGCATTTCTGACTGTATCTCTTCTGTCCTATTATGATAATTGGGATCCAGTCATGGATTTAATTAAAAGAATTTACATTTGGATTTGTAGAAAGAACAGATCAACAAGGTACTATGCGTCGTTAATACATTACATTATTAATGAATTACAATATATCTAACGATCAAATTTGCCATTTGATATTTCAGAATACCAGATCTTGAAGCAGAGCAAACAGAATCGCTCATAGGAATAAACAGCGGTGAACACGAAGCTTAACGTGACAATAACTATGAAGAAACTGTCTAATAAATGTCCTTTATGTATGTATATTTCTACACCTAACAACAAATGCTTCGTCGACGAGCATAACTTTCATTAATGTACTGTGTATATGTCTTCTTGATATGGATATCTCTTTTTGATGAGAGGATTCTGTATATATTTTAAATTAAATGATCTGTGCATATTTAATTGTAAAGCATTATCTCGAAGATAATGCAAGCAATGTCATCAGTCATAATTTTATTTTCTATAATGCATACGTTATTGTGCTGATTTGCCATAAAACTAGATTTTATCTTTATGCAGAATGTTACAATACTGCCAGACAATAATTGCGCGTTACTCGATATACACATTATTATTAAAGAAAAAATATTGATGTTTAAATTTTTGATTGCGTATATTAAAATAATACCGTGAGCACGTTATGGTTCTTTGAAACTCGTCGAGTCAACACAGTTCAATTATATTATTCAACGTACAGAATTAACGCTATTATGAGTTATATTTAGCTTCCGTATTCATTATATATTTCTCAAATGATAGCATACGAAGCATGTAATGTTAATTCTAATATTTTTATGAACATAATGTGTATATTGTGATCAATTTGTTGAAGACGTTGAGTTTCTATGAGTAACATTATACTCTTCTCAAATTACTGTGCATTGCTGACTAGTTACATTCTCTATACAAGTCTGTCTTGAATTTACAGAAGCTTATAGAACTACCAGTGCTATATACACTCTGTGGTTACTTGATACTCTTAGAGAAATCACTTAATATATTTGTATTCGAAAAAAGTCTGAAAAACAAAAGGATACTTATTTTAAATCTTATAATTACATTATTATTGTTATTATTATTAATATTATTATCATTGTCATTATTATTATTATTATTATTATTATTATTATTATTATTATTATTATTATTGGTGTATTTTAAGTAATGTTTCGGTAAAATATCGTTGTTTAAGAATCGCTCATAAAACTGTAGAAATCATAATAGAATTTAATTTATATTTTTGTTATATAATTTCAGAAGAAAAGTATGCTGCTCTGTATTATTAATCTGTTAATTATTATGTACTTATTTGGGGTACTCAACGTATAAAAGTATGCCTCCAATTCTAAGACAATGTCTGTGAGATGTTTGTGCAATTTTAATGATATAAGACAGGAATAATAAAGAATATATTTATATTATATT